AGATCAGAACCAACACGTTCTGTGCAGGCCACATGCACAAACTGCATAACGAGACACTTGAAAAACTGGTATGGGAGACGATTCCCACAGCCAAAAGACCACTCGGACGTCCAAGAATAAGATAAGAGATAACATCCAAGCAGATCTCTGGAAAATAAACATTCCATTTGACCCTAGGTTGATGGAAGACCGAACAAATTGGAAAAAAGTTGTACAGTCAGCCCACCCAGGGTTGTAGCGCTACGTTATGATAATATTTGAATCGGTTGCACATTGTTTCATTTATTGGTTAAGCCTGTAAGTCTATTCATTAAAAAAGTTAGGTACCCTTTTCAGGTAGATCAGTTTAAAACCATCTATCCAGTCAGGAGTATTAGTCAAAATCTTAAGCAGTTTAATAACATTTTTATTTTTGACAAAATAAGATGATGGATAAAATATATTTTTATAGTAAATGCTCACATTAATACATATTTTACTAATAAAGTCTCCATTTCCATTATACATAGTGTTCATATTTTCTGATGATCATGTTCAATGAAGACGATGTCCTCTTCATGTCAAAATTTGTATAAATCTCGACTATCTTTAAATTTAGCAGATTTACATGTATAAACAGCAATTCTCAGTTATTCAGTTTCGAAAGTTTTCTATTTCTACCAGAGGGTGTAATAGGTAAATACATTATAGGTAATGGGTAAAATATGACTTCGAGTAAAACATTACATTGCTTTTCAGTGTTTTGATGGGGATATAGTTCATAAATATGAAGAGTATTTTGTTTCTTGATACAGGCATTTTCTGGAACAGATTTATCAGGAATGGCTCTGGGTTTTAAAAATCACGGACAAAAGTGTTCTTTCTGAGAGATCGGTTCATTCTACACAAAAAATTGCTATTAACCATTTTTTTAATATACATTTATAATACGTTTCTTATTTAAAATATTTTTTTCTACGACGTGCATATTTTGGTAAATCCATTTTTTGCGTTTTTACCCCCCTGCCTGGAGGTATTAGGGGAAACCCCGAGGATTAAAAGGGACACACCTTTTTTAGGGCCCAAAATTAATATTCTTGTCAAAATTTAGCTGTTTCTTACTGTTTTTAGGAGTCAAACCTCTGACGACTGGACTAGTTAAAATTTTTCTAGGCATCTTTGTCTTCCTTCAGCGGGATCTATATTTCATGACCATAAGTCATAATTGATATAATTTTGATTACAGGAACTAAGTTTTATTACTAATAAATATAAGTACTTAGTGATGTTTTTACCTTTTAGAAAATTATAAAAATTTCCAGTTGCTCAGATAATCAAGCAACCAGGCAATCGAATTGCATTCGGTTCATTGTGACTGACTTCCTGAAAGGACTATAGATAAGAGCCTGGCTAGAAAACAAAAAGGTAATTGAAGTGGTTAAACTGAAATACGCTAGTGTATCGGATCAACCTATGGTTGTGCAGTACGGCAACATATGAGGACTTGCGGCTCGGAGTTACTCCTTTATAGCTCCCTGTATGAAGAGCGGGTACCATTACAAACCGAAAGAAGATAAAAATGTCCATATTGTGGACATATAAAATTAAAAATGAGGTTAAAAATTAATATAAGCACAAACTATTGGAAATAGGTCTTCATATTACAAGATCCCACTGCATGATCACTACGTTCATAGCGTAGTTAGTTAAACTAACATTCTTACATACATTTAAGAATAGGAGAATACATTAGTAACAGGTTACCACTCAAAAACTGACTGCAAATAGTTTTAATTCAACTAATGGTGATAATTTTTAAACAAATATTTTGTTTATTTATTATTTAAATAAAATACGCTACTCATGACGCATGTGCATGTTTTTTTTTATCAAATTTTGTTATTTTTTTTAATATGATGATTAAAAGGTTGCCTGAGAAAAATTTATAGAAAATTAGGGTTGCCAGCTGTTAAAAACGCGAGGTATTAAAGATAAAGTAAAAGAGAGCTAGCGCGCAACGTCTCCGGTTTGACATGGCTAGTGTCAGTTGTATAAGTGTTTAAAACATGCTTTGATAGATATTGTTAATAATATACATATTATCATTTGTCAGACCAGTGTCGTTGCGCGATAACTCTACTTTATTTTTGATAACTCGCGTGTTTACCAGCTAACAACCGTAATTTGCAACCATTTTTTCTCATGCAAACTTGTATCATCATATTAAAAAATAGCTTGAATTTGATATAAAGAACATTTAAGTACGTCATAACCAAAGTATTTTATATAAAAAATGAATGAGCGAAATAGAATTTTTGTTCAAAAATTATTTACCATTAATTGATTTAAAATTATTTGCAACCACTTCTTGACTGGTCATCTGGTATCAATCGTTTCTCCTATTCTGAAATGTATGTACAAATGTGAGTTTGATTAACTATGGTATAAACGTAATGTTCTTGCAATGGGATCTTAAACTATTATGTTGAAATAATAATTTAATATTTAGTTATTAATCGAAATACAGTAGTCTCTCTCTATAACGATTCCCTATATAACGATAATTCCTCTATAACGATGAAAATAGTAAACATTGGTTGGTTCGTCATAAGAACAATGTATTAATTCTTTCTCTATACCGATATCGTTCTCTCTTTATAGCGATAACTTTTTTAGCGTTCAATAGTTGATGACAAATGTGTTATTGTATTTAAAGTTCAGACTACCTGAGTCACGAATGAAAAGGTCATTGTTCAGCGGTTGTTTTGTTTTGCGTTTAAGGAATGCGGCATACACTCTTTCTTATCAGAGGGTTAAGTAACGTTTATTGTTCGGGCGGCGTAATTAAACTGTTATCACACAGATGTTGTTATCTATTGACGACTTTTAATTTCCAGTTTGAGTTGCGTCTTACTGTGCCAACAGTCAACATGTTTTCAAAAAAGCGTAAAGTGCTCTCGGTGGAGGAAAAACTATCGATAACTCGAGCAATAGAGAAAGGTGAAAAGCAATCGGATGTCGTTCGCCGGACGGGGCTGTCTCAGTCAACTGTGGCTACGATATGGAAGGACAGAAAAAAGTGGCTTAAAGCGGAGATGGAGGGCGGTAGCAGGAAGAAGTTGCGGAAACCTCAGCACGAAGATTTAGATCGTGCTATGCTTTAGTGGTTCCAGCAGCAGCGTATGAACCATATTCCACTTTCTGGGCCTGTGGTCAGGACAAAAGCTGAATTTTTTGCAACTGAACTTGGAATTGAGAATTTTAAGGCATCTGAGGGTTGGCTGAGCAAGTGGAAGATGCGGCACAAGATCAACTACGGCCAAATCAGCGGAGAGGCTCGCGATGTTAACAAAAACGTAACGGATCATTGGCTAGAAAACGTGTGGCCTGGACTGAAGACACGATATGCGTCAGACGACATTTTCAATGCGGATGAGACTGGATTGTTTTTTAAAATGACACCCAACAGAACTTAAATTTAAATTGGAAAAGTGCGTTGGTGGAAAGCTCTCTAAGGAACGCATTACAGTTTTAGTAGCCGCTAACATGACAGGTTCGGTGAAGCGAAAATTGTTAGTGATAGGGAAGTCGAAAAACCCGCGTTGCTTTAAAAACATAAAAAATCTACCGGTGACATATAAAGCAAACAAGAGTGCGTGGATGACCTCGGAAATTTTTGAAGAAGCGATAAGAAAGTGGGATATCGAGCTTAAAGGGAAAAAAATTCTTTTGCTTGTAGACAATTGTCCTGCTCATCCTGTATTGCACGACCTCCAAAACATCGAACTCTGTTTTCTGCCAGCAAACACAACGAGTGTCCTTCAGCCCATGGACCAAAGTGTCATCAAGAGTTTAAAAAACCATTACAGGAGGAGACTTTTGATGGAATTGGTTGAGAATAATGGCGATCTTAAACTAAACATTCTTGACGCCATCCTCATGATTAGTAAATCCTGGGACGAGGTGACGAGTAATACAATACAACATTCCTTCAAACACGCAGGATGGCTGGAAGATCAAGGATTGGCTTATGATGAAGATGACCTGCCATTAGATGTTTGGGCCAGACAGTTTGAATTTACTATCATCTACGTACCGGAAGAGCTAACAGATTTTGAAGAAGTTGATAAAAATGTAGCTACAACATCTGGACTTTCTGACGAGGACATCCTGCAAGCAGTTCGTGTAGAAGAAGAAGAAAACAGTGACTCTGAAGTGGAAGCAGAGTCAGAACCAGCTCCGACCCCTCAACAGGGATTAGATGCGGCAAAAGTACTGCATCGATTTTTCATCCACCAGGAAGACGATATGAGTGCTGTAGAAGATTCGATGCGTCTTCAGGACAAGGTCAGGTCAGTTCTGTGGAAAGGGAAAAGAAGACAGACCAAGCTGACAGATTTTTTTCATAATGTAGGCTAAATATATTTTACAGTAGCATTTTATTTTTTTATTGTACAGTACACATGTTTTAATTGCACAGTCATTTTTTATACTGTATTGCTTATATTATTCGTTAATAAATATATGTGGAATACAATGTTAAGTCATTTATATTCGTTTTGATAATTTTTTTAAATTAAAATAGGTTATGTAGTACAGTATTATTAATATTACAGTACCGAATTTTGTCTCTCTCTGTATAACGATCTCTCCTTATAACGATGAAAATTCCTGGTCCCTTGCATATCGTTATAGAGAGAGAGTACTGTATCATTAAATCTCTATAAATATTTTTATTATTCTAGATAAGACAAAACAGGGATCTTAATATTCATGTACAATGTCGACATATTGCAGGACGATGGATTTTTAATCAATGGATTGGAAGTTTCGCGAATAAACGGTTATGCTTTTTGCCACCCTTGCCTGTTTTGTTATCGACACTATTAAATTTAAAATTTATTTCACAAAAACTAACTGATTCATCTTGTAATTCAAATGTTGATTTCAATTTGCCTATTTGCTCTTTAAGCCCTCTAGTTTTTAACTAAATTGACAATCAATTTTTCTTTCTATTCTAGGTCCAATCGTCCGTTTGGCTTACCGCAACTGAAAAAAAGAAAAATTGAAACACCCAGCATGGCAACGGTGGCAAAAAGCTTCTCGAAAACCTTAGAAACTCTAGAAGATAAGCGCCGAAAAAAGACAGAAGAAACAAAACCATTGCTTCTTCCACAGAAGAAGCGTGTTTTGCCTTCTGCTAATTCACCTACTAGATTAAAGAAAAGTCCAAAATTAGACGAAAACGCTGCAGAAGAAACAATAATTAGAGAAACCGAGGCTGCTTTAAAAAATTTGTCAGGTAGTTGGCCTGGACCAAGGGGAGGATACCCGCATCAAGAGGATACGCCGACATTTGAAAATCTTTTTGATGAAAAAAAGGCCTCTGTTAAAATGTCACCAACTTCAAGTTCAAATAGCAGTAGCGACAATGCTTTGTCTGTTAAAGATGTTATAACATTAAGAGAACAACACGAGCATGAAGAAACTTTCGACGAAAAGTCAGGTAGTACGAATGGCAAAAGTAGTCCGAGATCGACTGATAGTAAACCAAAAAGTAGTAAAATGCAATATTCGTCGCCAGACTTTAACGAATTGGTCGATGATTCTTCTAATGAATTAGAAATTGATATGTCAGAAGCTGCTGCAGAGAAAAACGAATCTAGCGGCAAACAAGAACCAGAAAAGAGAAAAGATCCCAAATATCCCTCCACTAATTCTTCGTTTCATGCTTTTTCTCGCTCATCTCCATTTTCCACAACATCTGCATTTAGGCCTCCACAATCTAAAAACCCTCCACTTGGTCCATTTCCTGCAGAAGCTACTTTTGTTGGTTATCCAGAAGGAGCACCAGTTGAAGAGAAGAAAATAATAGTTCCGTTAAAACCAACAGATAGCCAAACCGAAATACAAAAGAGCCCCGAAGGTGTCAACAAACAATACACTATTTTACAACCAGCAGGAGTTGGATCTAGAGCAGCTACTACAATGCAAGAAGTGGCTAGAGAAGGAGTTCCGAGCGTATCGGCGGTTAGTGGGACCCCAGGAACTGAAAATACGGGGAAAATAACAACCACCACTGTTGCACCTGGAACACTGTCACCAAATAGTATTGGTAGGGGTAAGTAAATTTTGAAATGAAAAACAACTAAAAATGTATTATTTTCAATTTTTTATTCACTTCTTTAATATAGAAGTTAGGCATCTGCGCCTTACATGGTTTTAAGTATTACCTAAATATAGCTAGCATCAGCTCTTATACGTTGGTATGAGTAAGCCCGAAGTTAATATAAAACAATATACCATATTTCGGAAATAGTGTATATTTTTGCGTTTTTACACTAAACCTCAACATATAAAAAACGAACGAAAAAAATCGTAATTAAGTAGGTTGTGAATTTTACACTTAAATGCCGATGGTTGGCATTTCAGCGATTTTCTAAATCACAAACGTCAGTACGTGGCATAAATCTCATTTGCGTTTCTGTGGTTTTTAAAGTTTATATAGCTTCGGAATAACATTGTATTAATTTTTTTTTATAAAAAATAGATATGCAATACCATAGTGTGTGTATAATACCATGTACAGATAATACAAAATAGACCGATCCTTGCAATACCAGCCCGTTTCCCTAGCGCGACAGACAAAACTGACGCAAAGCAGTCCCTGCTTCTCTTTTTAATGGGCCGAGTTTATCGACCACGTGATATGTCCGAACTTACGCGATAGGTGGGACAGAGCGATAATCGCAAGTCGAATTATATCAAATAATTATGTCGAATAAGTCGAAGTATTTCGTATATGTATGTAAATATATAAATTATTTTAATTGGGACGGGAAGATAAGAAAAAAATAGCAATTTACACAAAAAATTTTTTATTAAAAGTTTAGGATATATAAATATAAAATTGGCAACTCAGTTTATTTTGATGTAGAAGGCTTTATATAATCTAAGAAAGACGTTTGACTACTCAAAGATTTTTTCCCGCAAAATTTCTGCATAGCAGGCTAATAATTTTTTTATCCCTTGTTTGGTAGAAGAATTGCGCTCTTCGTTGTGTTCTATATTTTTTTAAATTTTAATACCTTTTCAATTTAACAGCCTTCAGTCATGTTTCAAATCGTCATTTGATCCTCAGATTGAACTGAATCCAAACACTCAAGCTCTTTAATGTCTTGTTTTTCCTCGTGCATTTCTATGTATATCGCATATTTCTATGAGGTCATCTATTGTCAGCTCCTAATTGTAGGAATTCAACATTTCTTCAACGTCATCACCATTAACTTCTAAATTTAATTGCTGGGCAATATTAACATCTTCTTTATTAACATTACTACCTTTATCATGCGCTGACATCAATTCAGTGTCAGTGATAAAAAATAAGAGTTTTTTCCAGACGCCATTTAACGTTTTTTGTGAAACTTCATTCCAAGATTGTCCAATGATTGTTACTGTATCTAACACGTTGAATTGCTTTCAAAAAAGTTTTTTACAGAGAGCTTGTAATTTTTTCTTATAACTTTATAGAGTGCAAATGATCGTCTGGTGTAATAAGCCTTGAATGTTTTAATGACTCACTGATCCATCGGCTGAAATAAACTGGTTGTATTAACTGGCAAAAATTCAACTTTCATACGTTGGTCAAAACTAGTTAAAGTTGCAGGAGAATGACCTGGAACGTTGTCGATAATTAGCATCACTTTAAATGAAATTTGTTTAAATTGACAATAACGTTCGAATTCAGGTATGAAACGATGACCAAACCAATCCTCAAAAAGGGAAGTTGTCGCCCAAGCTTTACGATTAGACGTCCAAATTACAGGCAAGCCAGATTTATATTTATTTTTTAGTGCTCTTAGATTTTCTGAGCGATTAATTAAGAGTAGTTTTAACTTAAAATCACCAGCTGCATTTTCCCCACCATCACTGTCAATCGATATTTTTCAGCCTTAAAACCTGAAAAGGTTTTCTCTTCACGTGCAATGAAAATTCTGTTAAATATCTTCTTTCAAAACAGGATAGTCTCATCTACATTGGTTTGTTTGGTGAAGCAACACGATGCAGCCTTTTATCAGCACTTGCCGTTTTTCAGCTTTTTGCAATGCTATGCCAATTTAAACTGTTCATCCTTAGCGATTTCTCCAGCATCCTCTTCAATCTCTCAAAAATTAGTTCAGCTTAGGAGCATACTGTATTCTGATCAATGGGATAATTTTTCACATTTACCTCATTATCATACTATAATTTTACAGATTCTGCACTTTTCACAGCTTCGACAATTTTTTCCTTACACTTTATAATTGTTCTGACCGTTAATTCCGATAGATTAAACTTCGTTGATAATTCACAAAATTTCATTTTTGATTCAAAATCTGTAATTACATTCCAAAATAACGTTTTTCTTTTTTTATTTGCTACAGAAGGATCAGTTTTACTTCGTTTGGATGACTCATTGCTCTTTCAATTCTTCAGTAGATATAAAATAAAAATCCCGCTATAAAAGTAACAAACACCCACTCCATAGACAAAACTGTAGATAAGAAATACCTAATACGAAATAAATGTGTTGATTTCGTGCGAAAAGTCAAAACATGTAGGTACTTTCGATGAGAAATAATGCGTGGGCGGTAATTGTATCTAATCGACAATCGAATGATTATTTGGCACGTATAACGTATAACGTATAACGTTAGATTAGCGTAAGTCGGGGTAGCGTAAGTCGAGGTATTCCTGTATATAAACTTACATAGTTAGGTCACAGAATAATAAACAAACAGAATACCCACTCTCCACGGAAAATTAAGTACGCGCATCTCCTCCGCGCAGACGTTCCGCCATGTTTTAGGAGGATTTTAAAGAAATTAGTGTTGTTTATGTGGTGTGCATGGAAAAATTAACCAGGTTTATTTGACTTACGGCAATCATAGACATACTATACAATTATATTAACATTGTTAAATAGAATAACATAAATATAATATAATTAAACATAAATATAAACAATTACATAACCACACAAATCATATGTCTGTGTCCTCCTAAAACATGGCGCGCGTGCTGAAAAACTTCAAAGGCGACATCTGAGAGTGGCCCTTCTGATTGTTTATTATAATTCTGTGGTTAGGTACCATACTTGATGTTAGGTACCCTTATATTTCGACAATTTGACGGTTATGAGAGTGACTTTTTAAATGTGAATTTTTAAATATAATAAATTTTAAATAAAATTCTTTGTAAACTCTCTGCTTATTTACGTTAGGTGCATATATCTTATGAGATATTCGACACAATTTCAGAATAAAATTTGAAATACGTATTTATTAAAAAAATCTTTAAATTGTGTAAACATTTTTTCCTATTAATTATGCAACCAATAATACATTGCAAAGACTGGTGCACAGCATCTGTTGATATAGTACATAATAATGTTTATCTATTTTAATTATTTTATGTTATATACTGGGTTTGCTTCCAGCTTCCACTGTCTAGTAAATTTACACAATATTTAAACAAAAAATATTCACATTCAGTTGATTAACAAAATAAAATTGTATCCATTAAAACGAAAGTTAATTTGTGAAATTTTTTAGTCGTGTATAGATTGGTATTGGTACAGAGAAATAGGAACCTCATGTAATTGTCGAAATATCTAAACATTGGCAAAAGAGATGTAAAATCTGCAAAAATGTTGACTGTTGGGGATTTAAAAACCAAATACGATGCTCACATTCCGTTAAATCCAAAAGAACTCTAATACATGATTGCATGATTTAATTCATGGCATACCTTTTTAAAACACCATGTATTTTATTTTGTTTAGTTTACAATTTACTATTATAGTTCGTCTAGCAGCTGTCTTATTATTCTTTATGTTATTTTAATTACGTTATGATTAAATTTATAATTGTATTATTTTTTATTATTTTTGTGTAGGTAGTTATTGAATTTTTATACACTCAAAGACGTTATTTTCATGTGATCATATATATGATACAATCAACAAAATTTCTATCTTAACTTATCATTATTACGAATTGACACAATATCTTTTACTTAGTTTTTGAAGACAAATAGGAAATAATGATAACGCAGCTATGTAGAAAATAACTTTATAAGATTCAATTTTAGTTAAATTGCAATTGTTCATTATTAATATTTAGTTTCCATTATCTAGGTCCATATTTCATCCTTCAAGATTCCTAAAATACGTAAATCACCCAAGCTCAAAACCTATTCCTTTCTCAACATATTTACTTCACCTCGCTAATTCTTAACTTTCCGACAAACTTTCTAATTGCGGTCTGTAATCCACCTCGCACGTACCTGTCACCTGGCGCCATCTTAAAGACGTTCGCCGTATTATAGGTTTACTTGAAACAAGTTATAAGCCCCACTGACGTGACTAGCTTCTGTACGATGTCCTTATTCCTATTCAAGTCTCTCCGACACCCCCGCAAAACAACCCTTTTTTTCCGTACTAATGGTTATCGCGCTTAATGTGTACTTCCTTGCATGTTAATTATTTTGGGGATCGGATGTGTTTAAATGCTGATTACGCGTGATGAATTTTAGCGATAGCCACGATGTCCAAAGAAAATATTTGCTAAAAATTATTTACGCATTAAAAGTATATCAAATATAGAAAGGCGACAAAGAATTATGAAAAAAAGAGAATTATATACCAAAATTTGTAAGCAAAACATTAGTGTTTTTAAAGAGCCAAATGGGGACATTATTAGTTCTCAATTCTGATGTACAATTAATTGTAATGAAAATTATATTTTTAACTAACCGATTTGTTTTTCGTTTTGATTTTCACCTAGGAAATCGTTTTCAAAAAAAGCTGGAAAAATTAACTTCTGACTATTTTGAGTGTTTATTTGTATTATATGTTTGTGTAATGTGTATTGTAGTTGTGTTTGTGTAACGTAGGTTGTCTAACCTAGATTATATGTTTGTGTATTGTGTGTTGCCTATATATTGTATTTAAATTGTAGACGATATGTCTTCGACTTCCTATTAGTCCGCTATTATTGGTATAATAATATTATTGACTTCTTCGTTTAGTTTTGTCAACCAAAGCCTTTAATATTCTGCTGATGGGTTTGATACATGTTTCTTCAATAAGTAGAATAAGATCTGCTTCTTTGACTTTTCTTTCATTCAAGTATGTTTCTTTCATTATGTTTGATGCATCTTTCCATTATTATACTCTACTTCATTGTACTTCATTGGCATCACGGACCTAAAGAATTGAATAAATTTCTAATGGAAATCAACAATAACGAAGAATTTATCAAATTCATCATGAAAAAAAACAACAATTCACTTTTTTTTCTCAATGAGTTAATCACAAAAAAAGACATATGATATGCAACCAAAGTTCACAGAAAACCAACTCACACCAACATAATATATTTAAGTTACCCCTTCAACCACAACGTAAAAATAAAAAAGCATTATCAAACGTTATATCATAGAGGTCGAAGCACCTGCTCTAATTAAAATGCATTTCAGAAATAAAAAACCTGCTAACAAAGGTTTTGGCAAATCATGACTACCCATTCTCATGTCTAAACAAAGAATTCCACGAGATTTAAGAACGAAAATGACGAAATATCACAAGCAATTCAGAACAACTCACAAAAAGGGATTCCAATGTAGCAAATATGCCAGAATTTTTAAAATATTCTCTTTTGATAACGTTTTCCGGAATGGAAATCGAAACGATAAACAGAGTTCATTGCAATCAGAGAATATTGATACTACGACTTAATTTATTTAAAATATTAAAGTTTAGACGTGAGAGCCATAACACGTGAAATAATCAAAGGATATACAATAAAAGCCACAAGATGTATTAACATCATTGCATCTGGATCAACTTAAGCGACACCTTCTTTGGTTTCTGACAACAGTACCTATCGACGAAAACGTTCGAGGTCACGTTTTAAAGGATATTGATCCCTAGTCCTTCTTTTGCCCTAATACGTTAAGATCACACAGAAGTGATACTTAATATCCTAATAATTTTTCTACTTTAATTATTCCTGTTTTATGTTTTCATTGTCAGTGCCGTCTTTATCGACAACTAATGAATATGCTAATGATGAGTGCAAATAATGATTGAATTCTACTAAATATTCAAGTGAGAAACCGTTCACCAAATAAGTATGTCATAGCTAATAAATTGTATTATTTCATTATCAAAGTTCTTAATGTAACATATGGAGGAAAAAATGGGAAACAGTTATTGAAATGACGTAGAAATAAAGCAATTTGTATTTTTTCTCTATAACTCCACATGGGCAAAAAAACAACTAATGAAATCACAAATGTAATCAAACGCCATTAAATAAAATAATTTATAAGCGGCATGGAATTCTATAATCAAGTATTTCTTCCTATTCCTATAGCAGGAGGTCACAGAAAGTAACGATGTAACATTAATATGCATTGATATGATGACGATAACGTTTATCAGGTATATAAGCCATGGTCTATAATTCTTTCATTTTGACTTTTTGACAATTGCCATAATGGTTTTCCGCCTACTTAGTGTAGACAAGCATTAGATGCAGAGAAATGAAGAGAAATTTAAAGGATAAATGTTTCATGACAAAACAATCTTAATGTCTCCATTATAACTGGTATATTGTTTTGTTATGGTTGTCAATATATGGTTCTTCTCTAGTTTATTTGTTATTGCTTCTCTTCTTCTTCGAGTGCCCTTCCTATCGGAGATTGGATATCATTATGGCGATTCTAATTTTATTCGCTGCTGTTTTGAATAATTCGTTAATTCGTAATTTTTGTTGATAATTTGAATAGGTTACTAAAAAGAAAATAGGTACTACTGCCAATTTGGTCTAAAACTTGGTTCTAGTAGGATAATCCCATAGTTTGGCATATAGTCCGTTTGATGTATTGATGATATGATTAGTTCTCGTATTTTATTGAGATATTGAGATGTGTTCGTCATAACAGTTTCATTGCCTAGTCTGCAGGTATAAATATTATATCAATCGCTTTTAATTTTTCTTTGCTCACATTTTGTTTCAATTTTATAGATTTTTTAAGTATTATTTTGCTTCTTTTTACATGATCGTAAATGCTACCAAGCTTTTTCAGTAGAGCTTATTGTATTTCTCCTACTCCTCCCAAGGATTTGACACTCAGCGGTACTTCTCATCATTTTGGTATCAAATGTACCATAAACGTCTTAACCTATGCTTTCTCGTCTTGAAATTAATTGATAGCTCCCGTATACTTCCTCTAATAAATTTATTCTTAATTTTACTTCATGTAAATGCATTTAGTCCTGAATTTATTTTTCTGTAACATGCATTCGTTTTCTTTATATGTATCCAATATTTAGTGCCACACGTTATTATAATTTTATTCTTCACAGTTTTCCGTTACATTTCCTTCTATTTTCCTATTGTTTGTAATATTTAAAGCTATTTTAACTTGGTCCATTAATTTTCTGTTGATTTGCATTGTTTAAGTAACGTCATTTTAATTACTAATAGAATTTTTCATCAATTTTTATACCCGAAAATCTACTTTATTGAGAGATAAGACCAAATGTAAGACCAAATACTTACCATGTCGGGATAGTGTTATGAGGTTGTTTTCCTGGGTTTTCCCTCAATATATAATATGGAATCACTAACAAGAGCATATGGTTGTTCTTTTTAAATACAAATCACATGCTATAATTTTTTTCTGACGGATATTCTCAAGCTAAAGTTGATTTCATATAATCGAATGAACTATCTTACATCAAAGTCGTCCCAGGAATGCAACTCTACTTTAAAAATGTATAATATATGTCTAAATTGTAAATATAAATGAGTCAGATAAAATTAAATTATTAGAAGAATTTTTCACCAAGTAACAAAAAAATAATATTTGTTTAATTTATTAATATTTGTAGTTTGAGAACGATTTCCGAAGTGAAAATTCAAACGTCAATATTAAAACTTATTTAAAAATTCAAGTGTATCTTATTACCATTAAAATAATACTTACTTTAAGATGCCACGGGAACATAGCTTCAGAACAGTACTGAAAATCTACAAAAGATCAATATTCTATAGCTTTAAACATGCGATTTAGGGAGTATGAGAAACTTGTATTGTCTTTCTTTTTGTAATAATCTAAAACATTTTGTAAAATAATGGATTTACTCCAGTCGTTACTGGAGACGAAAATATCACTGATTATACACTAATATGACTAAAAATTATACTAAGCAGCTGAATTTTGCTGATAATGTCAATTTTGGGACTCCAAAAAAAATCCAAGAACTTTTCCACTCTTAGTGCAAAGTTATTGCAATAAATATGAGGCAATTGAAATATGCCTGGGAACCGCTAAATTTAAACTTTCATGTTACAAACGATCTTTTCAAACGAACATTTAAAACTTTTTTCTTTCGTTTTCCCAAGTACATTTTTCAAAACTACACAACTTCAGTTATACAACCTAATAACATCTTTATTAAAGCATTTACCTTGACGTGATATAATTGTAATGTAAAAGTTTAAATTCAGCGTTTTTTTCGGCATCTTATAAATGCCTCTTATTTGTTATCAAAACTTAAAATCAAAATTTCACGTTATAGGTTTTGAAGATTAAACTCTAATAAAAAAATCTATAACGATCTGTCAATAAAAGTGATAAATTTAGTAAAAAGGATAAAAATTGCGCAAAGTTTATTTATTTAACAGCTTTATAGAAACTAACTTCATTTGAAACAAAATGCAAAAATTTTGCGCTCTTCACAATTAAAAGCATAATAATATTTCTCAATAGAACACTTTGATCAGAAGATATCAAGTTTTTACCATCGAGTTGATACAAATTTTATTTAAAAAAAATCATTTCGCGCGCGTAACTAATCCTTAAAATTGCTGATCACTCAAGCGTTGTTCATTCG